CAAATGTTTTTCAACATTTTTATGATCTGGGTATGTTATAACTTTTACTTTTTCAAGAGTTTGGTTTCTGGGTTTTGATTCTGCCCCTTAACTGATTAAGCAAATAAAGTCTTTTGTGGTATTTGTTGATGTACGAAAAGATTAAACTTTTGTATGGAATATGTTCAAACTTTCTGGGAAGCTTAATCGGGATTGTAAGAACATATCTTGAAGCAAAAGAGAAGACTTTTTTGCTGACAGTTCTTGACGTTATCTGTTGATTCAAATTACAGGAGCATCAAGTGGTATTGGTGAAGAGACGACTCGTGTTCTTGCTCTTCGTGGTGTACATGTTGTAATGGCGGTAAGGAACACAGATTCTGGTAATCAAGTTAGAGAAAAGATAATTAAGGAAACCCCTCAAGCAAAGATTGATGTAATGAAGTTAGATCTTAGCTCATTGGCTTCAGTCAGGAGCTTTGCATCAGAATACAAGTCTTTGAACCTTCCCTTGAATCTTCTCATGTAAATCCTTAAGTTTACTCTTAAATACTTGTGTCTCGTTTATTCTTTGCTTGATTAGTGAGTGTTTAGTCATCTCTATTCTTGTTTTTGAAGCAATAATGCAGGGATTATGGCATGTCCTTTCACGCTTTCTAGCGACAACATCGAATTACAGTTTGCAACCAATCATTTGGGTATGTTTTATCAGAACATATGATCCTCCTTTATTGCTTACTTGTAGAACTTTTGTTTGTTGCCGTTGCTTCATATATTAGCGTACGATGTTTGAAGTTTGATGATGAAACATGTTCTGTGTTAAAAAGGTTTATGGATATACAATTTTCCAGGTCATTTTCTACTGACGAAACTTCTTTTGAAGACAATGAAGAAAACAGCTACTGAAAGCAATAGAGAAGGAAGAATTGTTATTGTCTCATCAGAAGGTCATCGATTTGCTTACCGGGAAGGGATTCGGTTTGACAAAATAAATGACGAAGCAAGGTGATTGTTATGTGATAATATTCTTCATTACAATTTAATTTCAACTGTAATAATTTTAATAACATACTCGTATCGTTCTCACAGCTACAATTTTTTGCAAGCATATGGTCAATCAAAGCTCTGTAACATATTGCACGCTACTGAGCTCGCTAGGCAGTTCAAGGTAAACTAGTATTTTGCAGGTGACTTCGTAAATTTTGAATCAATTCAAAAGGCCAAAGAGAAAGCTAATGGAATCAAATTTTGTTTATCTTTGGTTTTGCTTAAAACAGGAACAAGGTGTGAAAATCACTGCTAATTCACTTCATCCCGGATCCATTATGACCAATCTTTTGCGCTTCCACAGCTTCATCAATAGTAATTTCTTTTGCTCATTATACTCAATGTCTGGATTTCCTTTGTTTTCTCAATACTCCATAATGAATCAACACTGGAATAAACACAAGATGGTAAGCAACAATCCTAAAAAAAAATACGCCGTCTTGAAAGAAGTTAGTTTGAGCCTCCCCTGTGACTCATATCCTAGGTGATGTTGGATTCTGTGTAACTATTATAAGATGAAGTGATCTATGTCTTAACCTACGCATTTTCACAATGCTATACCGTATAAATCTTTGTCAACAAATGTTCATGATCTAACAACGGATGTATATAGTATTATGAACTGTGGAATGATCAATCTAATAACAACTTTTTATCTTGTTTGATGCAGCAATCGGTAATGTGGTGGGAAAGTATGTGCTGAAGAGTATCCCACAGGTCGGGTTTATGATATCTCTGTATGGAATTTACTTACCAAGTTCATCACCGTGCTCATTATGTCTCAACTCACATACATACTTGTTCGTATATGTGTTTTTTTTTTGTATACGGTTGTTGCAGGGAGCAGCAACTACATGTTTCGCAGCGCTACATCCGCAAGCAAAGGGAGTGAGTGGGGAATACATGATGGACAACAACATATCTAATCCTAATTCTCAGGGTAAAGACAAAGATTTGGCCAAGAAACTATGGGAGTTTAGCTTGAGTCTAACTGGTGAAGAAGAATCGTAGATACTTTGAAGAGTTACAGTCTTACAGATAAGAGATCTGGTTTAAATGTGGGACTAAGGAAAGATCTGTTGGGTCAGTCTTAATTCTGTATAAAGAAAACAAAAACAAAATTGAACCTTTATTAAGAACAAAAAGTTGATTTCTCATTGTTGATAGACTTTTGTGAGTTTTGGTAATTTTCTCGTTCAAAAGTGTCGACATTTCTGGACAACCAATAAAGTTACATATACATTCATTTTCATGACTTGTCTGGGTTAACTTAAAATCCAATTATAATTAGACCGGATATAAAATCGGATTGAATCGGTAAAAAACCAGAAACCGGTATTGAATCGGAACCGCATCAAACCGGGTTTAATAATTTTGTTAACTAAA